GGGGGCAGAGAGAGGGGCAGAGAGAGAGGGACAGAGAGAGAAGGGGCAGAGAGAGAGGGGCATAGAGAGAGGGGCATAGAGAGAGGGGGCAGAGAGAGAGGGGCAGAGAGAGAGGGGGCATAGAGAGAGGGGGCAGAGAGAGAGGGGCATAGAGAGGGGCATAGAGAGAGGGGCATAGAGAGAGAGGTACAGAGAGAGAGGGGGCATAGAGAGAGGGGCATAGAGAGAGGGGGCAGAGAGAGAGAGGGCAGAGAGAGTGGGGGTAGAGAGAGGGGTCAGAGAGAGGGGCATAGAGAGTGGGGGCATAGAGAGAGGGGGCAGAGAGAGAGGGGCATAGAGAGAGGGGGCAGAGAGAGAGAGGGCAGAGAGAGAGGGGCAGAGAGAGAGGGGCAGAGAGAGAGGGGCAGAGAGAGAGGGGCAGAGAGAGTGGGGGTAGAGAGAGGGGTCAGAGAGAGAGGGGCATAGAGAGTGGGGGGCATAGAGAGAGGGGGCAGAGAGAGAGAGGGGCATAGAGAGAGGGGGCAGAGAGAGAGAGGGCAGAGAGAGAGGGGCAGAGAGAGAGGGGCAGAGAGAGAGGGGCCGAGAGAGGGGGACAGAAAGCAGGTGCAGAGAGAAGAGTCAGAGAGAGAGCAGAGAGAGGCACAGAGAGAAAGGGTAGAGAAAGAGGTAGAGAGAGAGGGAGTGGAACAGCGACAGATCGTGAGATGCAGAGGGAGATGGGCAGAGTAAGTGGGGCCGAGAGAGGAGGCAGAAACAGAAGGGTAGAGAGAGGGAGGCAGGGAAGATGGGGTAGGGAGAGGGAGGCACAGAAAAGGAGGGGCAGAGAGAGGGGGCAGAGAGAGAGAACAGAGAGAGGGGCGAGATATAGGGGGCAGAGAGTGCAGGTAGAAAAAGAGGGTCAGAGAGACAGGGTCAGAGTGATTGTTGGCAGAGAGTGGCGCAGAGGAGAGAGGCAGAGAAAGAGGCGCACAAAGAGAGGGTACAGTGAGATGGGGGGTAGAGGGAGGGGAGCAGAGGGAGAAGGGGCAGAGAGAGAGGGGCCGAGTGAGGGGTTAGAGAGAGTGGGGGCAGAGGGTGCAGAGAAAGAGGTGAAGGGAGACACAGGTGCAGAGAGAGAGGGCAGGGTGCGAGGGGCGGATTCAGAGGGGCCAGAGACAGGCTCAGAGACAGGGGCAGAGAGAGAGAAGGGCTCAGAGGGTGCAGTCAGAGAGAGGGGCGACAGGGAGAGAGGTGCCGACAGAGAGGGCCAGAGACAACGAGGGCTAAGAAGGGGCAGATAGGGTCAGAGGGAGGGATAGCGGGGGCAGAGAGAGGGGGCAGAGAGAGAGGGGTAGAAAGAGGTGGCTTAGACAGATAGGAGCAGAGAGAGGGGCAGAGTTTGAGGTGCAGAGAGGGAGAGAGGGGGCAGAGGGAGAGAGCCAGAGTGAGACAGGCACAGACAGAGAGTGCAGAGAGAGAGAGAGAGCAGCAGAGAGAGAGAGTGGCAGAGGGAGAGAGGGACAGAGAGATGGGGGGAGAGAGAGGGCACAGAGACAGAGGGGCAGAGAGAGGGGCAGAGAGGGGGAAGTGCAGAGAGAAAAGGTAGAGAGACAGGCAATGGGATTGGCAGGTACAGTTAGAGAGACGGGCAGAGAGAGGGACAGAGAGAGAGTGGAGTGAGGGACAGAGACAAGGGGCAGAGAGAGTGGGGGCAGGGACAGAGGGGCAGATAGGGTCAGAGAGAGGAAAAGAGGGTTAGGGAGAGGAACAGAGGGGCAGAGAGAGAAGGGCAGTAAGAGCTGGGGCAGAGAGAGTGGGGGCAGAGAGAGAGGGGCAAGAGTGGGAGAGGGCAGAGAGAGGGGCAGAGACAGGGGCAGAGAGAGAGGGGGCAGAGAGCGAGAAGGGCAGATATGGTCAGAGAGTGAGACAGGGGCAAAGACAGAGAGAGGCAGAAAGCAGGGCACAGAAGAGGGGGCAGAGAGAGAGAGGTGCAGAGGAGGAGGTACAGAGAAATTGGGGAAGAGAGAGATGAGCAGAGAGGGGGGCAGAGAGAGGGACAGAGAGAGTGAAGAGAGAGAGGAGGTAGAGGGGGCAGAGAGAAAGGGCTCAGAAAGGGACGGAGAGAGAGGCCAGAGACAGAGAGGGGCAGAGGAGAGGCAGAGGCAGATGGATCTCTAAATTTCAAGGGAGCTCCAGGATAACCTGAGATCCTGTCTGAAAACCAAAAAACCAAAAACTAAAAAAGGTGTACTAATATAGATGCAGGAAGGAACTGAGCTTCCACACTTGGGCAAGTTTTTTTTTTTCTTTTGAATAAATTGTAGTGTTCTTATGTTTTCAAATTTTATTGTCCTTGATTATGGCTCACTTATGGGCCACTTATCACATGTACTTTTAAACTGAGTTCACCATCTATGTTTTGTTTATTTTCAGCCTGGAAATTGTTAAATAGTAGAGATATTGGCAAGTTTTTCATTCTCTTCAGGACATCTCAGCACATTAAAGACGTTTTCCCAGAGGTTTGCTCTCGGGGTGGAATAAGACGTTTAAGTGAGGAGCTACCCTCACTGTTCACCTGCCATTTCCCACTGATTAATGGTAGCAGGCATTATTTGAGATATTTGTCTTTTGTCTTGAGCACAAAGTTACTACAGAGACTCGTAAGAAACATTCCATTATGCCAAGACAGTGAGTCCATTTTCCAGTAGTCACAGATGAAGCATGTAGCCAGAAGAAGCTAGGCTTTGGTTTTAGATGCAGTCTTTTTTTTCCTGCCATGCTCCCTGACTCCTCCTCCCATCCCAATCACCCTCCCCCCCCACTCCACAGGGAGAGTGATGTCTTCCAGGAGGGATCATCAAAGTCTGTCAAGTCATTTGGAGTAGGGTCCAGGCCTTCCCTTCTGCTTCTAGGCCAAGAGGGTATCACTCCATAGGGAATGTGCAGTCTTTTTTATTTTATTTTGGTTTCAGGATGAAATTTCTCTGTGAAACAGTCCTGGCTGTCCTGGAACTAGCTTTGTAAATCAGGGTGGCCTTGAACTCACATAGACCCACCAGCCTCTGCCTCCTGAGTGCTAGGATTAAAGGAGTGACTGCTCTCCTCCCAACCCCTGCCAGGTGCAGTTTTAAAACAAGTCTAAGCAATCCACTGGGAGGAAACATATATTCTGTGTGGGATTAATATATATTCATGAATGATGAAATACAAGGTGGCCTAGGATGAAATAGCAAACGTGGTACAGAGAATAGCATCTGATGGTACTTCCGAGAAGGAGGCAGAGTCTACGCTGATGCACTTAGGATGAGCTTTCCAGAGGAGACAGTGCCTAAGCAGGCTCTAGTTCTATGTGAGACTGGCTTCATTGAGAGGAGAGGAAAGGAAACATCATGGAAATCCAAGTCCTAAGATGTAGTTAGGCATGGCAAATAAGGTCATGTGTTGTATTATTTATATCATGAGTAGGTTCACTGTTGTATTTATTTTTAGTTATCAAATTCTATCACCACCAAGAATGGCTATTTCAGCATTAACTTTGTTATAATTTGCTTTTTATTGCTGTGGCAAAACACCATGACCAAAGTAACTTGGAGGAAAGGGTTTATTCCAGATTATAGCTGGTCATGGAGCGAAGTCAGGGCAGGAAGTGAATCAGAAACCATGGAGGGAAGCTGCTTAGTGACTGCTCCCCATGGCTTGCTTAGCCTGCTTTCTTTTTCTTTTGCACACTAATGCAATTTTATTTTATTTTTCTTTTGTTGAAAATAGATTTATTTTCACATACTAAATATATCCTGATTACAGTTTTTCTATCCTCTTCTTCCAGTTCCTCCCTACATCCTTTTCCGTCTGGATCTACTCCCTTTCTGTTACTAATTAGAAAGCAGACAGGATTCTAAGAGACAATATGAAAATATAACAAGATAAAACAAAAACTAAAACATTGGAATTTGACAAGACAAACCAATAGAAGGAAAAGAGCCCAGGAGAAGGCACAAGAATCAGAGACACACTTGTTTGTGCACTTAGCAATCCTATAAAAACACTCAACTGGAAGCCATGATACATATGCAGAGGGCCTGGTGCAGACTGGTCCTGTGAGTTCATGTGAACTTTGCTCATGATGATTTAGAGGGCTTCATTTCCTTTGTGTGCTCCATTTCCTCTGGCTCTTACACTTTTTCTCCTCCTCTTCTGAAGGATGTGCTGATCCTTGAGGGGGAGAGATTTGATAGAAATTTCCCACTTAGGGCTGAGTGTTTCAAGTTTTCTTATTCAGTTTGGTTTCTTATAGCTCTCAGGACCAATTTTCCATGGGTGGTTCCACCCCCAGTGAGATGGATCTTCCTACATCATAAGCCATTAATTAAGACAATGCCCTACAGACTTGCCTACTAGCCATTCTTATAGTCATTTTCTCAATTGACGTTCCTCTTGCCAGATGACCTTTTGCTTGTGGCAAGTTGACAAGGACCTAGAACCTAGCCAGCACAAATTTTTCTTCATTATCCAAATATATTGTTCTTGATTCAAATAATGAGTTCAGATGGTAAAGGATGCTTGGTTTTCTGAGTTGAATATAGTTGGTTCCTGAAATAATGTGTTGAAAAGAAGCATATTGGCATAGTTGGCCCTGGTGGTGTGTATCAGTAATCCTGTCACTCAGAAGGTGAAGCAGGATTGTCAGTTCCAGGCTTGTTTGGGATGCAAAGCAAGTTTAAATTCAGTGTAGGCTACCTAGCAAGACTGCTGTCTTTAACAAAGTGTGAGCTGGGCTTGCTGACACACACCTCTAGTCTCAACACTTGGGAGGTAAGGCATGATGATCATGAGTTCAAGACCACAACATACTGAATGAAAGCAGAATTAAGAAACCAAAAAACAAATGTCTGGTAACAGAAAGCAAAGAATGTGTGGTTGGGAAACATTTGGTGCTGTGTGTTCTAGTTATGTATGAGACTTTTGCTTTTGGTTTTAATGAGTAATTTATGGAGTTATTTCCCAATCTGGTTCTATTGTAGACAACTATGACTATTTCCAAAATGCACCTCCTGGATTTTTCCCAAGACTTGGTGTTATTGGTTTTGCTGGTTTTATTGGACTCATTTTTGCTAGAGGTGGGTACAATTTTGTATGTTTATTCCCCAGTCAATTTCTATGGGAGAAATGGAATATATGTTAGATTCTTTATCTATATTTAATAGTTTTCTGATTAGTTGGTTCCTAAATGTGGACTTCTTAACATATACTTCATTTCCTTGTTTACCCCATAACATTTGATTTTAAATATACATAGAAATTATATACTCTTGTAAGAAAAAGAAAGTACGTATACTTAATAAGCAGATCTACTTGTTCATGTATCTATTGTTCTTTGGTACAGAAAGTGCACAAAGTCTTTGACACCTGACAAACTTTGTAAATGTTTCACCTGTTATATCAGGCTGTTAATCACAGAAAGGAGAACAGTGATTTACAGTTTATTAGCTTCTTCAGGTGTCACACCTTTAGTTAGTGATGCTATAAAAACTTTAAAAATGCTTCAAGTGAAGGAACCTAGTAAGTATCACCAAATATTGCTATAGTGGATGGGGCATATAGCTCTGGCAGAACGCTTGCCTAGTGTGCTTGAGGCCATAGGCACTATCCCATACACAAGAAAATATTACTCTATCATAAAATGGTAATAAAAGGCTTCTCTATGAAGAGATTATTTTTATGATCTATTTGGAATTTTACTAGTTGTAAAATATATATATATATTTCCAATTAGAAGCTTAGTATGCTAGTTCACACCTAGGATTCTAGCATTTAGGAGGCTGAGGCAAGAAGATTGCCTTATGACCAGTCTGGGCTACATTATAAGTGAGTTATAGGCCAGCCTGGCCTGCGGAGTGAGATTTTCTCTCAATAAAACACAACAAACAAAAATTCAAAATAGAACTATCCCAACAAAGAACTATGTAATATGACCACCATAAAAGAGATCCTAGTTTTGAAGCAGTTGTTCTAATTCTAGAACGCTTTGCTCTTTGTGTATAAAGTATTTTTTGGCGTCAGGAGGGTGAACACTGCACTGGCCCTTTGTGGTTCACCTGAGGAATAAAGTCCTGCACATTTATCCTGTGCCAGTTTGTTTTCACTTTGTTGTTATGTTTCCCAAAATTGGCATCCTGCTGTGTGTTGTATGCAGTACACTTTCCTCCTGCTGTTGTATGTAGCATGCTTTCCTCCTAGTTCTATATCATCCTGTAACCTGGCCTGAGACTCTCACAAAACTGTTGTCATGGACTTTTCCTCTCCATATTGATCCCCATTTTCTGGGCTTCTATGTCACCTTTTCCTTGTTGAACTACATGCTTAAGTTGTGAGAGGCAAACTTTCCAACACCTTATATGTCTGTTCCTCATACTGACAGTTTGGATAATTCTTTTTCATCCAAACTAGCATCTGGCATTGCAGATGGCAGAGTGGATAGCCCGTCTGGATACTTACTTGTTGTTTCTCCTTTCCTTTTCTTTCTTGCTTTTCCTTTTTTTTTTTTTTTAATTTTTGGAAAGTTTGAGGACCTTCAGTGTTCTGAATTTCTATGGCATGATGACTACATGCAGATACTTTTAGCCTTTGGTGGTGTGCCTTCCTTAGCTCAAGAGTGATATGCATCTGCTTTTTCTCTGAGGATTTGCTTCCTTTTTCCTTCCTGAGTGCTTTTAATTAATAATTGAGTTCTTTTTTTATATGGCCATAGTGTGTCTTATATTTTCTTGCTTATATTTTCCAGTTTTTGAATGTTTTCCTTTGGTCATTTCCATGAGGTCTTGTTGTCTGGATGGTTGTAGCTGCTTCTGTTGATTTGATGACACGTAACAGATTTAGCTTTGGTTTTAAAGTTCTGTTTCCTGTTGAGTCATTTTTATTTTCTTCTTGCTTGTCTTGGTCTTTCTCTTTTATGTTGTAGGCTCTCATCCAATGTCTGCTGATCCCTGGTTGTCCAGTCATGTTTCTGATTGATACAATTGAAATGCTAGTAAGAACTCTGTGTATAGCTATAGATTGCTGGTAGGCAGGTTCTATGTTAGGGTAAGCTGGATGGGAGCTGACTTTATATGGAGGAGGTCTTTATTCTTATGCGCTAATATTGGTGTGTGTGCAGTGTCTCAGTATAAAATTAATGATTTTTTTTTAACTGAGACTTTGCCCTGCTTTTAAAATTGGCCTGTCATAACTTCCAGGAGCAGGTTTACACTGGGATGATGTGGAGGGAACAAAGGAGTCACCCACTCCATGGACAGGACTTTTATTTGTCTTCCTGTCTTGCTCTTTCTTTTGCCCATAGTCATTACTATACCTAGGAAAGATCTGTTCTCTTCTTTGCCACACATCCCTTCTTCAAGATAATATTAACTGGTCTTTCATTTCTATTCATACTTTTTAAAAAAGTGTGTACGTGCACATGTGTGCATACATGCCTGAGTGTGTAGTGCTTGGGAACAACCCAGGGCTTCATATGTGCCAGGCAAGTGCTCTGCCAAATGTGATGTATTCCTAGCAATTGACACTTTTGTGGTGCTTGGAATGAAACCCAGGACTTTATTTAAGCTAAGAAAGTAATCTACCACTGACCTACATCCTCAACCTTGATGATTTATCTGCCAGTGCCCCTCTATGCATTTTCTCTTCCTTATGGGGTTTCTGATCTGTATTTTATTTTCTTATTGCTGTTTTAATGAAATTTCAGGGAGGAGAGGAAAGGCACAATTGTATTTTGCATTTAAATAGGAAGGTGGTCAATTTGCTTTGAAAAATCAAACCCCAGAAACAAAAATAGAGTTGTTTTTAAAAAACAAATATTTAGTTTTGTTTCCTAGAAACAGTGATCTCAAGTGCCAATAGTCCTAACACTGTAATCCCACACCTCTAATCCTACTGGTAATATAGGAGACAGAGGCAGAAAAATACAAGTTCAAGACTAGTCTGGGCTACATAATGAGACCATCTCGCAGAGCAAAATGAAGCCAGAAAAGCGAAGCAATACAAACAGACAAATAAACAAAACCTGGAAAAAAGGTAGAGGAGTACCTACCTGTAGGTCAGCTTAGGCTACATTGCCTTAATAATTATTTTTTGATTATTTTGAGACAGGGTTTCTCAGTGGCTGTCCACTCTGTAGATCAGGCTGGCCTTAAACTCACAGCTATCCACCTGCCTCTGCCTCTTGAGTGTTGGGGTTAAAGGCATGCATCACCACTTCCTGATAGTTTAATAATTAATAAATGGTAACTCTTAAGATATTTGTTGAGCGAAGGAAGTCACTCACAAAGGATCACACTTTATATGATTCCATGTATATGAAATTGCCAGAGTAGGCAAATCCATAGAGATTGAAAATTGAAAATGGGTTTCTCTTAGCCTTATGTGGTTGTTGGTGGGGATGGAGGATATTGCTGACTGCCTGCCTCCTCCCCTCCCCTCCCCTCTCCTTTCCTCCCTTCCTTTCACTTCCTTCTGCTCCCTTCTCTACCTTCACACCTTTTCTTCCTTTCCTCCCTTCCTTCCCTACCTTCTCTCCCTTCCTTTTTTCTTTTCTTGGTGCTGGGGATTTCAGGACCTAGTGCATGCTAAGCATGTGTTTTACCATCAAAGGTGAGGGTTTCTTTTGAGAATACCAGATTTGATTATGTTGATGGTTGCAGAGCTCTGTGAATCTACTAAGTCATTATATTTTGTACTTTAAATGGGTGAAATGTATAATTATATTATGAAGCTATAAAGAAGTAGTGATTCATTTTGTTGTATGTCCTATTAAGTAATATTTCAATTTAGGGTCAAATATATCTTGTTTGTCATCAACAGTAGAAAGCAAATTGGGAGAGTAAGGATATCAAATCATCTGATAGTGTACTACTTTTTATTGATCAGGTTCAAAACTAAAGAAGCTGGTGTATCCTCCTTTTTTCATGGGATTAGGTGCCTCTATCTATTACCCACAACAAGCCATTGCCTTTGCCCAGGTGAGTCAGACCCAGGAAGCAAGGATGTTCTTCATTCCAGCTCCACTGGTTTATTTTTTATTTTGCAGTTCTTGTTATACCAAATTAAACACTATTTCATAGCCAACTTAAAAGTTTATCCTCACAACAAGGGATAGTGGCATATGCCTTTAATTTCAGCATTCGGGAGGCAGAGGCAGGTGGATCTCTGTGGGTTTGAGGCCAGCCTAGTCTACAGAGCAAGTTCCAGGACAGGCTCCAAAGCTACACAGAGAAACCCTGTCTAGACAAACCAAAAATAAATAAAATTTCTCTTCACTATTTACCTCAGTACCAATCTTCCTTCCAATAATGTCAATGTTCAGAGAATGCACGGTAATTTGAAAATTAATCTAAGAAAATTTAAGATACCATTTATATACTTATGCAGAAGTCTAAGGAATCAATGTCCAAAGCTGATAATTACAGGCCATTTTCAGCCTGCCCTTACTGGCATTGTCTGCAAAGACTACTCTGGCCTTCATGCTTTTTCCCTAGTATTGGTGCCATACTCACTTTCCTTATTGCAACATGAGGTGCATGTTCTCTTCTGGTGTGAAGGTCCTATTTGGAGTTTTCATTTTGTTAACTGTCCTTTTCTTACCCTTCAGATCTCAGTTTGATGATATCATGTCAAGTAGATAGATCATAGTTGACTGATGAGTTGGGTAAAGATAGACCACCGGTTCTCAAAGCATATCCTTAAGATCTATAGCATCAGCATTTCTTGGGAAAGTGTCAGAGGTGCAAATCCACAGGCCCCACTCCAGGCTAATTGAATCAGGCAGTGTAAGGGTGTGGATTAGCTATCTCTGTTTTAGCAGGGCTTCCCGGATATTTGAGAAGCACTGTTTTATACAAATAAGCTTTAGATGCTGCTTTGGAGTCAGTGGTACTATAAACATATAATCCCTGGGAAAACTGGAAAAGTTTTGAGATCTTCAACAGCTTAGGGACATAGGGACCCACTGGGCAAAGCTTCCATATCACATGAAGATACTGTCCTAGGAAAAGACAGCAGTACATTCCTTAGAATCATGTCAACTCGACACTGGGCCTCTTGGATTCCTCATGACCGGGCTGCAGTTGTAGTGGAAATCTAGTGGCCACAGTATTGGGAAATTGATAGTTTTGGTTATGAGATTGTAACAGTCCTGGAAGCGGAAAGTTAATGTTCCTGTTCTGGCTCTTGCTCCAGCTTAGGAAGAATGAATAATGTCTGCCTTGCCTAGATAAAAGAAGAATGCTAAACATCTTTCTAGTCTTACAGTAAATGGTAGGCAGGGGCTGGCTGCTGGTTGTGAAGCAGTTGTGGTTGTCCTCAGAGAGAGGAACTTTTTTTTTTGCTTTCTGTGCCTCAGCATTTGTTGCAAAACATTTTCTGTATTCACCAACAAGATAGTATGACATAATGAAAAATATTTGTAAGTGGATAGTGGTAATGGTTGAGCGGTAAGGATATCCTTACCGCCACTGGAGTATATACCTCTAAAAACACTTACGATGGTAAATTTTGTGTTACATATATATAATCTTCTCTTTTTAAAAAAGTCACATCATGCATATTTTACTATAAGAAAACCAAGCCACAAGAGCACCAACTTAGAAAAAGACTTTCCTGTCTTATATCATGTTGTTTAGATCCTTTTTTTTTTTTTTTTACAGTTTTACTTTTCTTTTTTAGAAACCTCAAAATTGGACAGACCACTTAGCCTCTTAAATTCTGTTCTGTTCTGTGGTATATAGCTAAAAATAATATGAAAATCCCACAGATTGAGGCAGCAGAAGTGGTGGCTCAGTTGTAGAGTACTTGCTCAGCATAAAAGGGTCTATGCCTAAACCCCAAGCGCGCGCGCGCGCACACACACACACACACACACACACACACACACACACCCGTCATATTGATGGAAAATGGTTTCCTTTCAGAAATGTGAAACACTAAGAACAGCAGTATCATATGTGGTAAATGCTCAACATATCTAAGAAGGATCCTAAGAGTTTTTAAAAGTTTGGGTTACTTTTTATTTTTTTCTTTTAAAGATTTATTTATTTATTATGTATACAGTGTTCAGCCTGCATGTATGCCTGTGTGCTGGAAGAGGGAACTGGATCTCATTATGGATGGTTGTGAGCCACCACATGGTTCCTGGGAATTGAACTCAGGACTTCTGGAAGAGCAGCCAGGGCTTTTAACTGCTGAGCCATCTCTCCAGCGCCCTAAGAATCCTTGTGTGTCATGTATTTTAAAAGTAGAAGGTACAACTGAGGAATATGACATGTGGAGATCAGCATGTTACAGAGACCACTCTTTCTACAAGCATTGGGCCTTTAGACAAGTCACTTGGCCTTTGAGTGTATCCTTACAGTCTCCCTGTCCTTGCTATTCTATAGGATAGTGATAACTCATGTGAAAGTGTTTTGTAAAACAACACTATTTAAAGATTAATTATAAAAATTAAGAAGAGAATTCGAAGTGGTGGCATGTGCCTTTAATCCCAGCACTCTGGAGGCAGAGGCAAGCAGATCTCTGTGAATTTGAGACCAACCTGGTCTGCAAAGCGAGTTCTAGAACGGGGCTGTTACACAGAGAAATTCTGTCTCCTTAAACAAACAAAAAAATAAGTAAATAAAAATGAAATAAAAAAAATTCTCAGTGTTTGTTAGGGCTGGAGAGATGGCCCCATGGTTAAGAGCAGTTACTGCTCATCTAGAAGGATTTGATCCCCAGCACCCACATCAGGCAACTCACACTCTCCATGGTCTCCATGTGTAGCTGTGTACACATGACAGACATACACTTACCTGTACTCAAGCACAATACGCCAAATAAAAACAATTTTGAAGTATTATCATGGAGTAGATCAATCAGCATTCTTTGTTAAAAGTAGACCCAACAGATGCAGATTACTGGGAGCACTTTTTTTTTTGAAGACCCAATACCCAATACTTGGGGAAAATTTTTCCATGCGAGTTGGCTCAGTGATTAAGAGCATTTGTTGTTTTTGTAGAGGACCTAGGTTTGATTCCTAGCACTCATATGGCAGCTCACAACTGTTTGTAATTCCAGTCCCAGGTGATCTGATACACTCTTCTAAACTTTTCTGACCTCCACAGGCAGCAGACATGTATGTGGTATGCTACATGCATGCGGGCAAAACACTGAAACACACACACACACACACACTCTCTCTCTCTCTCTCTCTCTCTCTCTCTCTCTCTCTCTCTCTCTCTCGTAATTCAAGCCAGCTAGCCAAAGACAGGGTAAACACATTTAAAGGTCATGACCTCTCTTAAGGCCAGGGCCTCATGGAATGATTATGAATCATGCTACCTACAAAATCCTTATAGTAATTAAGACTTCATCATGGCTGTGCCTGGGAAAATTGGAGATATATTCATATATTTTACATCTAAGTCTTTAAAAATGATTGAATGACTTTTTTCACCTTGGCGACTTGGTTGGTTGTAATGTACTAGGCTGAGTACTAGATGGGTTAGGTAGATGTTTCCTCCTCTGTATGAGTTTAGGATTTCCCCATATAATCAGTAGTCTCCTACATTTCGTTTAGAAGACATTTCTTTTGGGAGCTGGGAAGTGGATAGGTATCAGTAATGTGTATAATTTTTTGCGTTTGAGACAGGATTTCACTCTGTTGTTCAGGCTGACCTTGAATTTACAGCAATCTACCTGCCTCAGCCTCCTGGGTGCTGAGATTATAGATGTGAGCCACCATATTGAGGTAGGATTGTCTTTTCTTTTTCTTTTGTGGTGATAGAGATTGATGCCAGGATGTTTCCTAGGCAAGTGTTCTACCATTGAACCCAGCAGGTTTAGTTAATGTGTCTCAAGACTCCTGTAGTCATCTCTCTCTCTCTCTCTCTCTCTCTCTCTCTCACACACACACACACACACACACACACACACACACACAGAGAGAGAGAGAGAGAGAGAGAGAGAGAGAGAGAAGTCAAATGCAGTGCTGTTGGAAACAGGAGAAAACAAATTCTTTTGTTTATCTTACAAATCGAATATTCATCAATCTTTTCTATTTGTGTTTCAAGGTCAGCGGGGAGAAGTTATATGACTGGGGATTACAAGGGTACATAATTGTGGAAGATTTGTGGAAGGAACATTTTCAGAAGGTAAGAAATATTTTTGCTATCTTCCTTTTAGTTTAAATATGTGGTTCTTCTAAGGTTTTTTAAAATACTTAAATAAAACTTATTACCTTAAGTGTCCTTTTTGGAACAGTAGTAGAGTATTTGATTATTATTAATAGGTCAAAATGGTGAAAAAATGTATCCCAATGTAGCCTTATACTGTAATTTTTATTCTGTTCTATATATAGTTTCCTTAGAGTGTAGCATATTGTCTGAAAGTTTTACCATGAATGGACTCAGGCCAGTGAGATGGCTCAGTGGGTAGAGGTACTTCCTGCCAAGCCAGATGTCTTGAGTTTGATCCTGGGAACCCACAGGGTGAAAAGAGAAAAAATTACACGCACATGCACACACACACACACACACACACAGGTAACTAAATGTGATTAAAAATACTTGGGACTAAAGAGATGGCTCAGCAGTTAAGAGTACTGGCTGTTCTTCTGGCAGACCTGGGTTAGATTCTTAGCACCCACATGGTGACTTTATAACTGTCTGTAATTCCATTCCTGGGGAATCTTCCTCTTCTGGCCTCCAAAGGTGCCAGGTACATACATGATGTAATGTATATGTTCAAACACAACATCTATACACATAAAGTAATTAAGTAGTGTATAAAAGCTCTGGGTTTGCCTGACACTGGTGGCACCTTTAGTCTGAGCACTCAGGAGGTAGAGGCAGGTGGATCTCTGTGAGCTCAAGGTCAGCCTGGTCTACAGAGTGAGTTCTAGGATAGCCAAGGCTACACAGAGAAACCCTGTATTGAAAAATAGCTCTTGATTAAGATGGAATATATTGTGCTCTCAAGAAAAAATGCATAATTGAGACATATGCCCTCCCTTGATTTTATACTTTATTATAAACTCTGTTCTGGTCTTTAGTATTATTTGTTTATCTTTTATCTGAGGCTCCAATTTGTTGGAGAGTAGTCATAGGCCACACATTCTCCATGCCATCTGTTGACTGAGTAGCAGAGAGAGAAGATTGTCACTTTTCAAGTCTCCTAGTGGCCACGTAGCTGATTGCATTTGGTCTGGTCTCTTTTTTTGTGATAAAGAAGACTCAGTACAGTACAAGGCATTGTGCCTCTTTTGTGTTCAGACATCCGGCTAAAGGCAAACTGGGGTTCTTACGTTAATAAACTTTCTGCAGCATAGATCAAAGAAAGTTCATTTTGACTAATATTATTTCAAAAGAAAACACTTATAAAATATATGAGTAGAAGGTAACAGGCAATTATGATCAAAGTAAATTAAGTACATGCATAAAAATATCATAATGAAGCCTGTTAATTTGTACTATAATATACATTCTTCAAAATGTCTTTAAATAAATTCGCTAGAGTTGTGACTTAGTGGCAAATTAGGAAACGAAAATGTGAGCTTAGCATTCACAAGGCCCCAGCACCACAAACATACATATATACATATATGTAACTATCAGAATTTAGGAATAACAGGGTATAAGCCTTCCTTGTTGTATCCATAAATAAACTTTCAGTGAAATCTTAAGACTGATTTTATTTTCTGTGTATGAATGTTTTGCTTGCATATATGTTTATGTTCCACGTGCATGCCTGTTGCCTATGAAGTCAGAAGAGTTTGTTGCCCTAGTACTGAAGTTTCAGATGGTTGTGAGTCGCTATGTGGGTGCTAGGAATTAAATATGGGTTCTCTTCAAGAACAAGCTCTAATCACTGAGCAATTTCTCCAGCCCCAAGACTGATTTTTATATTGGTGGTTTAAAAGGAGTTAGTCCCCTTTGAGCCCATTTAAACTAGCTTTCATTAAGGTCTGGGGATAGAGATCATTGGTAGAGTGCTTACCTAGCATGTGCAAGACCACAGGTTAAGTTCCTGGTACCACTCAGTTCAACAACAAAAAGAAACAAAAAAAACCCAACCTAGTCCTTAGTCTCCAACTCATAGCAGTCCTTGGCACCACATCCCAAGTGCTCTGATAGCAAGTGTAAATCACTTTGGCTGGCTGAACTAGTTCTTAAGAGGGAAATTATGGATTGATAGCACATGTTACCTGGCACTCCCTTTTAAAGAATAAACCCAGTTTACTTTCTTCTGGTATTTTCTTTGGAAGCCTTCTTACCTGTTTAAAAAACTTCTTAACATGTTCCTCTTTTTGTGACTGGGTTACCTCATTCAGGATGGTTTCTTCAAGTGCCATCCACTTGCCTGTGAATGTCAAGATTCCATTATTTTTTTCTGCATAGTAGTATTCCATTGTGTAGATGTGCCACATCTTCATTATCCACTCTTCAGTTGAGGGGCATCTAGGTTGCTTCCATGTTCTTGCTATTACAAATAGTGCTGCTATGAACATAGTTGAGCAGATGTCTTTGTTGCATGGATGTGGATCATTTGGGTATATGCTTAAGAGGGGGATTGCCAGGTCCTATGGTAAACTAATTCCCATTTTCTTGAGGAACCGCTGTACTGATCTCCAAAATGGCTGTACGAGTTTGCACTCCCACCAGCAGTGGAGGAGTGTTCCCCTTTCTCCACATCCTCTCCAACATGAGTCATCATTGGTGTTTATAATTTTAGCCATTCTGGCAGGGGTAAGATGGTATCTCAAAGTTGTTTTGATTTGCATTTCCCTGATAGCTAAGGATGTGGAGCATTTTCTTAAGTGTCTTTCAGCCTTTTTGATTTCCTCTATTGATAATTTTTTCTTCAGTTCTGTACCCCATTTTTAATAGGGTTATTTGGTGTTTTGTTGACTAGTTTCTTGAGTTCTTTTTATATTTAGGAGATCAGCCTCTGTCAGATGTAGGATTGGTGAAAATCTTTTCCCAGTCTGTGCTGTGCTGTTTGGTCTTGTCCACTGTGTCCTTTGCCTTACAGAAGCTTCTGAGTTTGAATAGGTCCCATTTATTAATTGTTGATCTCAGTATCTGTGCTCCTGGAGTTATGTTCAGGAAGTGGTCTCTTATACCATTTTGTTCAAAGGTACCTCCTACTTTCTCTTCTAAGAGGTTCAGTGTGGCTGGATTGATGTTGAGGTCTTTGGTCCATTTGGACTTGAGTTTTGTGCATGGCAACAGACATGGATCTATCTGCAGTCTTCTACACACCATCATCCAATTGTGCCAGCACCATTTGTTGAAGATGCTTTCCTCACCCCATTGTATTCTTTTAGCTGTTTTGTTGAAAATCAGGTGTTTATAGGTGTGTGGGTTACTATCAGGATTCGCTCATATATGGATTGTAGACCTAGAGCAAAGGATCACCAGCCTATAATTCACACCACCAGAGAAACTAGGATACAAGGTGTATTCTAGGAGATTCATATAAGTCCCTCACAGATGGGGGAAGGGACAAGTCCCCCCAGAGCACATGGGAAGTGGGGGGCAGTGAATGGAGAGAGAACTAGGAGAAAGAGAAGGGGAGGAAAGGAAAACATGTGCAACTAGGAAGATTGAGTCAGGGTAGGAATAGAAGACAGAAGAGAGAGAGAGAGAGAGAGAGAGAGAGAGAGAGAGAGAGCATAAAGAGGGAGCCATTATTGGTTTGAAGAGAAAACTGACTGTGGAAAGGCTACCATAAATGCCCTTCCTGGATAGTGAGATAAACAACTAACTTATCCACCATCATGAAGCCCTAAACTTGTACCTTTTGGAAACAGAAGCAAACACCCATACCTAAACACTGAGTCGAACTAGGATCCAGATGCAGAGGGAGAGGACAAGACCAGGTTGCAGAAACACATAGAGACAGCTGACCTGAACAAGGAGGAGCTAATGGGCCCCTAGACTGATAGCTGGGAATCCAGCATGGAACTGACTCAGGCCCCCTTGAATATGGGTCTCAGTCAGAAGGACTGAGCAGTCTAAGGGACCTCAGACAGTGGAACCAGGATGAATTCCTAGTGCACAAATGGACCTTGCGGACATATCCCCCATGGAGGGATAACTACCTTAACCTAGAGACAGGAAAGAAGTCCTAGTCCCTACTTCAAATGACTTGACAGATTTACATGCCCCACCTGGATGGCATCACCCTACATGTGGAATTGGGGTGGGGGGATGGTCTGGGAGGGTGGTCAGGGGGCATGTGAGGGGGGAGAGAGGGTAAGAGGGAGGGAGGGAGAAGGATCTTGGATTGATATGTGAAATAAAAAATAAAATAAAAAATTCTTAACAAGTATGCACCTAAATTTTTATGGGAAATGAATTAAAATGGAAGAAAAAAAAACTGTATATTTAGCTGGAAAGAATCATGAAAGAGAGACCAAATCAGTATCTGCTACTCATTGGGCTGTGGTGCAACCACAGACTAGGCCATACTGACTTTAGAGGGAGATCTAATAGGAACCTCTGTGAGTTGCTCTGATATCTCTAGACATGCATGCACAACAAAGCAAAGATTGATGTCACTGGAAAACACGTTTCTCTGGTCAGAGAATTCAACCCAGTTCAGGACTGTAGTTGGAACAAATTAAACAGGCCAGCATTTTGTGGTAATATGAAGACCCCAGGAATAAGAAGACAAAAAAAAAAAAAAAAAAAAAAAAAAAAAAATAAAACCCAAAGCATTTAAAGCTATTCATAGAATTTTATGCAAGTCTTCTTGGAGTTGAATGGTAAAGATTTCTGAGTAGCTCATCACTGGGGGCTAGAGAGATGGCTCAGTGGTCAAGAGCACTGGCTACTCTTCTAGAGCACATGGATTCAATTTCTTCTTGACAGTTCATAACTGCCATTCCAATCCTAGATGCTCCTGATATCCAGGTGCTACTCTGTGAGTGCCAGCCATGCAAGTGGTACACAGACATACATGTAGGCAAATACCCATAGACATAAAATAAAAATCAAATAAGTCATCATTATGGGTCCACAGTTCTGTTTTTTGTTACACCTCTGCCTTTTTCAAAGTTAATGGGAACTTTAATTATTTCATTATTTACCCAACAAAGCATACTCCTCCTGGTGGCTGTCCTTAACAAGAGAAAATAAGATTGATGTTT